CAAAACCCCAAAACCCCAAAACCCCAACTTACTAAAATTTATACAAAAAAGTAGCATAAATTAATTTTAAATAATACTAAAAAGTCTAATTAGTGCATTAATAAATTATTAAATATAGAATTTACCCTTTTAAGTCTTAGGGAATTAAATGGAATCATTTAAATCCATGAAAATTACAATAATATTTCTGCTTTTTATACTCCATAAGCAATGCTTAGAATTAAAAAGTTAAAGGAGGGAACTGCTACTACTTAAAGGAAATAATTGCTTTCAGAAAACGCAAAATGAGCCTTATCCATAGATCTTAGGGGATTACAATGGAGACACTGAATTTTAATTCTTTGATTTCGATTCTACAAGCATAATAATAGCAGGTTAATCAAAATCATTGGCTATTGTTACTGCAATCGATTTCCCTTTTCTTGTAAAATTAGAATTAGTCTCGGGGTAATTAATATGGCATAATTAGTTAGTCTACAATTTAGCTTCAAGTCCAGCACCCTCATAGATAACACCATAATAACTACACAGCTGTGCGATACAAAATTAAGTTTCCACTTATGCTATATGTATTAGTTAAACTCCTGAAGTGGGTATTTTTATCTTTTCTTATTCAAATGGCTAAATATAAAAGTCGTTGTACTTTTAATAGGCAACCTTACCTATAACTATATCAAAACTTTCAAATCCAGTTGGTGTAGCTATGGAAAGCAATGGTAAAACTCATGTAGTTGTTTAAGATTCTGGACAGCTTGGAATATTAAGTTTCATGTTCAGCACTGGAGCAAATTCTTTCTCTCCTACTTTTTATCAATAACATGGATCAACATCTGATTTCATAATTAGAGGTATAAACTTTATTCTCGGTGCAAATTCTTTTGCCTATATAGGAGGAAGCTATTAAGGTAAGGGATTTTATTCGAAAATAGAGCTAATTGGAGGCACTTCTATATATACTATGCAATATTCATCTCTATTAGCAGTACATTCACTAAACGTACAAGTTGCCGCTTTGAGAATGTAAATATATTAAAGTGAATCATGCATCTTTGCTTGTTCAGAGTCAACTGGTGTAGATAAGAAAAATTTCGCACTTTTATATATCATGGAGATATCAAACATTCCATAAATTATGATAAGCACATAATTAACTCATTCCTTAGATGTTACCTGCATTGATGTTTATAATAGCTTAGATTCATTCTATGTAGCAATTATTGATTCTAATAATCAAGGATTTTATGGCTCAATCGATTTAAATGCTATATTGTCGACATCATCTATTGTTTTTAATCAGATAACCTCGGACCCATATGCTCCTAACCTAAAATTTATGAAGTATTTGGATTCAACTAATTTGTTTTATGGTGGTTCCACTGATTAAATAAAAAGTTAAACCTATATGATTTAAGTGGCATATATGATGACAACATAAAAACATATCTCAAACTGCATTAGCATTGTAACTCCAACTATATCAATGCTAACGATAGTGTAAACTACTTTTACAGCTATTGGTGATCCTGTTTATAATCCAGCATTGGTTTCAGTAGCATCAGCAAGTATATCAACTTTAACGTTAGTAAAAGATTCAACTATTAGTTCATAAAACTTACTCAATATTAGGTCTGCATAATTAGACTGGAGTTGTTTAAATGCCCTTCCAGCTTAAGCGTCAATTGTTATTGCTTGGCAGCTTTAAGGATAAACTTCCTACACTTATGTGGTAAATGATCCAGCTCTTAAAATAACCTTCACAGATTTTAGTTACAATAATAATTGCATAGATCTAAGCTGGACTTATGAAATGACTGTGGTACCAAATATTCCGGGTTCATCTGTTGTTACATATGTAAGCAACTCTTACACAGTTGGAGGAGGTGGAACTATTACTGTGTATACTACAGATGCTTCATATTAAGGCTCTTATATTATTACTATCAAAGGAATAGTTGGATTAACATTTTTTTCTACTATTGATATAACTATAAATGTATCAGGTGCTGCAGGAATTACCACAACTACTACTACAACTACTACTACTACGACTTCAACTACAACAACTACCACTACCACAACAACTCCAGCTCCTATCATTTAAAACACAGCTCCATATTTTGAATCTGAACTTATAAACTTTATTGAAATTTACATAGGAGATAAATATGTTCTAGAATTACCCTCTATAATTGATCCAGATTCAGATTTGGTAAGGAGTGAAGTAACTGTTTCTTATCCTTTAATAATAATTCCAAACTTTATAAAGATATCAAACAAATAATTAACTATCATCCCGAAAACTCTAAATTATGGTGTTTTTAACTTAGTTATAATTCTTACAGATAGTAATTTACTTGGTAGCAAAAGCACAATATATTAAGTGTAGTTAGATATAAAGAAATGAAATTAAACCTAAATAGAAAACTCGTCTAAACCAACAAAATAAGCAAATACAGGAGATTAATAAAATAATTCAGATAAAAATTTCTATTTTATGATTGAAGAATTAAATTGCTTATAATAATTAACTCTGAAGTTCAGTCAAAAGATAATAACATCGCAAATAGAAGTTAAAGACATCGATAAAAATATTTTTAAATTGGAACTTTAGTAAGCTGAATAAATATCTCCCTTGATAAATTGGAATACAGTACAAATCACCGAAAACAGATTGCATATTAAGCTAGAATTTGATGATAATATAGAGATTTCTGCCAAAGAATTGCAAGATATATTGAAAGTAACGCTATTGAAACCAATTTTTATTTCCTAATCGACAAAGAAGTCTATATCTTTATCTACTAGATTCGTAACCATTCCTCCTTAAATAAAATCAGAATGTAAGTTATAATATTTAAAATTTACAAATAGATGAAAATGAAATTCTTACTACTTCAGGAAACGCTATGCTTGCAATGTTACAAGCATCAATTTTTGGAAGTTTTGCAATGAGTTTTACTCTTGGATTAAGTCTTTAATACTTATGGGGAATGATTAATACGCTCCAGTTAATATCACACACTCCTCTTTTCAGCATACCTTACTCTGCTAATATTTTGATTTTCATTTAATCGTTCTTCTAAATTGTTAATCTTGACATTTTTGACGTATAAAATGAGCTATAGAAAATATTTAATCTCCATCATAAGAATGACTTACCGGAATACAATTAAAGATTTACCTTTTTAGGCTATGATACTGTGAATTACATATACATTGTTGGATTTCCTTGCTTAATGCTAATAGGATATTTAAGCATAATAGTTCTTTATCTTTTTTTGAAATCCTTGAAATTAAAGAGGAAAATTGTATAAAAGCTGATGTTTAAATTAGAAATATATTTGTTCTTTGGATTTTATTTAAGATTTTTACAAGAAACATGCCTATCAAATTACTTAGGATTGCAAATTTAAATTGAGACTTAGCATTACCCGGGGAAAGCAATATCATACGTATTTTCAGTGATAATGTTTATTTCCAATTATATTTTAGTTCTTATTTTTCCAATCCTACTGTAACTTAAGAAATAAGGGAAAATAGGAATTAAATTCGTCAGATTTTTCAATTAGTTTTATGACAATCTGAACTCAAACCATATTTCTCATATGTTCTATCACTTTATATTTTTCTCAAGGAGACTTGCTTTTGTATTAATAATATTTTATGCTGTTGATTATCTCTGGCTATAGATAATTTTATTCATTTTATAAAACATTTTCTATATTGTATTTCTCATCTATTTTAAACCCTTGGCCTCGGGTATCGAGCTGGAAATTATAAATGAGATATTCACATTACTTTTATGTTATTTTATGATACTTTATACAGATTTTAATAATGACCCTGAGATAAAATACTATTCAGGCTATGTTTTTCTAGGAATATTATGCCTGAACATGCTTTTTAATTTTATCCTTTTAATAATACAAATGATAAAGTCCTTAATATAAAGTTACAAAACAATAAAGAAAATGAGACTAGTTTAAAAAGCTATGAGATAAAAATTATTCCTATCTACCAATACATCTCTAGCTGGTTTAGTCGGAACTAAATAACAATTGGATACTAATCATATAAAACAAGACTTTGATTAGATCAAGCTCAATTACAATTTTTAATAAAATACAGCCAGAGAAAGCTCTCAAAAAATGAGACTAGAGAATTTTCCAAATATTGAGAAGATTAAAAATTACGAGGAAAATATAGATACAGATGACAATCAAGAGGAGGTTAAGAAATTACCAAGGTAAAGATTCCAACAAATATCTTAATTAAACAGTAGTAATCATTTGATATAATAATAAATGGGGAAGTATAAGGAAAACAGTATTAGGCCAAAGTTTCTATCAAATAATATGATTTTAGATTAATTTGATGATTTAATTGCAATAGATTCTTTGGGCACTAAGGATCAATATTAATTTAATTCAACAAGGAATTCGGATTCAAAACTGTTATTGCCTGCTAAAACTAAATCTATTTTATCTAACAATTATTCATTTCGAAGAGTTGCTAACGATTAGAATGAAAAAATTCCAAATATTGATCATCAAGAAGACTAAATATAAAATTTGTCAAACTCGTTAATTTCAAAAAATGACAGTAACAGTCCTTCATCAAGTGAGTTCAATTAATTAGTTAAAAAGATTTTGTTAAATCAGCCAAATGTGAAATCTAAATTCTTATAACCAATCAATTAAATGCAAGATAATATTGATACTATAAATTCAAGATAAAATAATAACAGTGCTAATATTATCATGAATAGAAGGAAACTAAAAAATAAATTTATGAGAGAAGATGTGAATAATAAATTTAATAATTTCCAATAGTAACTCTAAATGGCTGAAAACGAGAATATTCTCATTAATTCAGACCAAATTGATGATTAAAATAATTAATTAGAAAAAGAAAAAGATGAATTGGCTTTTGAAGAATATGAGTTTATCAGTATTAAAAGAAAGAAGGAAAGCTTAAATTTTTTATGATATTATCTAATATTCTATCAAATCATTAGATTTTTAACATTAGGGGTTTTGGGGTTTTGGGG